CCACCATCACACATAGCCGCAAAACATTGAAACGGTTCCTTACTAGCCATCTTTGCGGAGGTTTGTAACCACTGGGATGCTTGAGCGCTCCCAACAGCTTCATTGCATGCCAAACAGACCATCCCTCAAAGTTGCTCCCAGCCTATAAATGAAATCGAAGGCTTATACTGCGGGCACAACACGCTAAATATATGGTGCAGTAGAATTACTACTAACTACTATTACTATTAGTTAATTACAACTACTATATAATAAATTTTGACCAAAATAACAAGAGCTTATGTAATAGAATGTTATTTTATGTATAAGATTCATAAAATGATTTTTTAAGGTAATCATTAGGCAGCAAACAGTTCCTAAGGAAATGAGATTTCCTATAAATAATCTAGTAGCTACTGATTGCATGATTATGCAGACAAAGTTTCCAATCTTAGGTAAACCCGTTTAGATTTGTGCTACTGTTGTTGACGCCGCACGAACGGACGGACGGACGGACGGACGGATGGACGTACGAAGAAACAAAAGAACGAACGGACGGATGGACGTAGGGAGGAACGATCGGACGGATGGATGTACGGAGGAACGAACGGACGGATGGACGTACGGAGGAACGAACGGACGGATGGACGTACGGACAGAAAGAACGAACGGATAGATGGATGTACGGAGGAACAAACGTGCGGATGGACGTACAGACGGATGAACGAACGGATAGATGGATGTACGAAGGAACGAACGGACGGATGTATGTACGGGGGCACGAACGGACGGATGGTCGGACGGATGGACGTACGGAGGAACGAACGGTCGGATACACGTACGGAATAACGAACGGACGGATGGACGTACGGAGGAACGAACGGACGGATAGATGTACGGAGGAACGAACGGACGGATGGTCTGACGGATGGACGTACAGAGGAACGAACGGACGGATAGATGTACGGAGGAACGAACGGACGGATGGACGTACGGAGGAACGAACGGACGGATGGATGTACGGAGAAACGAACGGACGGATGGATGTACGGAGGAACGAACGGACGGATAGATGTACGGAGGAACGAACGGACGGATGGACGTACGGACAGAAAGAACGAACGTGCGGATGGACGTACGGAGGAACGAACGTGCGGATGGACGTACGGAGGAACGAACGGACGGATGGACGTACGGACAGAAAGAACGAACGGACGGATGGACGTACGGAGGAACGACCGAACGGATGGACGTACGGAGGAACAAACGTGCGGATGGACGTACAGACGGATGAACGAACGGATAGATGGATGTACGAAGGAACGAACGGACGGATGTATGTACGGGGGCACGAACGGACGGATGGTCGGACGGATGGAGGTACGGGGGAACGAACGGTCGGATACACGTACGGAATAACGAACGGACGGATGGATGTACGGAGGAACGAACGGACGGATGGACATACGGAGGAACGAACGGACGAATAGATGTACGGAGGAACGAACGGACGGATGGACGTACGGACAGAAAGAACGAACTTGCGGATGGACGTACGGAGGAACGAACGGACGGATGGACGTACGGAGGAACGAACGGACGGATGGACGTACGGACAGAAAGAACGAACGGATGGACGTACGGAGGAACGAATGTGCAGATGCATGGACGTACGGAGGAACGAACGGACGGATGGACGTACGGAGGAACGAACGGACGGATGGACGTACGGAGGAACGAATGTGCAGATGCATGGACGTACGGAGGAACGAACGGACGGATGGACGTACGGAGGAAGCGAATCGCTGAACAGATGGACTAAAGGAGAACAAACGTGCGGAATGGACGTACAGGACGGAGGCATTGAACTCGAACGCATAAGATAGAGATGTATCGAAGGAAGAACGGAACGGATGTATAGTACGGGGGCCGAACGGAACCGGATGGTGCGGACGATGGACGTCACGCGGGCGAACGAACGGCGGTGCGGAATACCACGTAGCGGAATAACGAAGCGGACGATTGGATGTAAACGGAGGAAGCGAACGGACAGGTATGCGACGAATACGGAGGAACGAACGGCACGATAGATCTCGGAGGACGAACGACGGATAGGACGTACCGGCCATTGAAAGTAACAAGATAACGGGCGGCATGACGTACGGAGGCGAGCAGAAAACGATGCACGAAAGAATGGACGTACGGAGGAACGACAGGAAACGGACTCGCGACAGTAGCGGAAAGAGAAACGAAGCGGACGAGATGGACACGTACCGAGAGAGAAACGCACGGACGAATGGAAAGTACAGACGGATGAACGAACGGATAGATGGATGTACGAAGGAACAAACGGACGGATGTATGTACGGGGGCACGAACGGACGGATGGTCGGACGGATGGACGTACGGAGGAACGAACGGTCGGATGCACGTACGGAAGAACGAACGGACGGATTGATGTACGGAGGAACGAACGGACGGATAGATGTACGGAGGAACGAACGGACGGATGGACGTACGGAGGAACGAACGGACGGATAGATGTACGGAGGAACGAACGGACGGATAGATGTACGGAGGAACGAACGGACGGATGGACGGACGGAGGAACGAACGGACGGATGGACGTACGGAGGAACGAACGGACGGATGGACGTACGGAGGAACGAACGGACGGATGGACGGACGGATGGACGTGCGGAGGAACAAACGGATGGATAGACGGACAACATACGCCAGTGCCATTACGCGAGCGCATTTCAGTTATTGCCCAGATGGCAAAATATTTACAAATCGCGTCGAAACCGACAGACATCGTATTCATCAACCAAACTAGTACCAATCGCGAAAGTAAATACTGTTTTTTGTTTGACGTGTTCTAGTTTAGTGATATTGAATAAAGGTTGGCGAAAACAATAGACATCATTTGCTGTCATTATTTGCGTTATTGGACAAGATACGAAACAATGTAAACATCCGTTTCTCTCAAATAGCAGCAATTTCGTACCTGTCATATATGTTTACTCACGACATTACATGCATGCACACATCATAAGCGCGGCAGTTGAGGTGCTGTGTGTGTGTGTGTGTGTGTGTGTGTGTGTGTGTGTGTGTGTGTGTGTGTGTGTGTGTGTGTGGTGTGTGTGTGTGTGTGTGTGCGTGCGTGCGTGCGTGCGTGCGTGCGTGTGTGTGATATGGCCGGTCAAAAGACAACTTGTTAAACTAAGCGACCTAGAAGTAATGTGTGATAAACTTTTCAACACAAGTCCATGACTCAGAAATCCATTTCTAGATGTTATTCGCCACGCCTTTAATAGTCACGTTTAACGTGATAAGGTCAAGGTCAAGGATCACTTTACCGTTCAAAATGACGAAAATCGCCTGAATATTCCGTAAAGCAAAATTGCCACCATCGCGACTGTCCAATATTAATTGGGATGATCGGTAATGTGCCAAAGTAGTTATTATTATTATTTTGATAAATATCTAATAATGTATGGTCCATATGGAATCACGGCTCTTGGCATTAGCAGCGTCATAGGTAAAATCACTAAAATTATCAAGATTCCCTATAACATTCACCAATAATTGTTTATGTATCATTTCTAACCACATATTTTAAGTAAATATTACTCTCACCTATTACATTTTACTGCCTTTATAAACATGGACAGCTCAGTTAAAGCAAGCCAACATTTGTAACAAAATTATGCCGCAATTAAATATATTTAGGACGCAAATCAAATGACTAATAGATGATTTATAACATCAAGAAACATGACTATTGCCACACATAAATTGCTCGTGTGTGCATCTTGAACTCAGATGTTCTCTGCAGTTCTTGTTCTGAAAATCAAAACAACCCTCCAGCTCATCGTCTTCTTGCTCCTCACTCGAGCTTCATTATCACCACTCATGCCCGTCATCCTGGTATTCATCCTCCCTCTTTCTTGCGGACACCTGGCGCTGCAGCAACGCAATTCACCGACTGTGCCAGAGGCAGTTCGCTTTGTGCAGCTGAGTTTTTCAGCGGTGACAGCCTACATTTAGCTCTTTTGCATGCCCACCCCCAATTCTCGACAGCATCAGCAATCACAATTCATCAGAAGCGGTGGTCCAGGTGCCACTATCATGCAAGACAAGGCTATCCCATCTAGGTCCTGACAATGAAGAAAACATCTGGCAGGCACCCTAATGTTCGGCAGCCCTTCCAAAAAGGTGCGACACGACGCCCACATGCGTGGTAGAGATTTCTGTCTGCTCGGCGGCAGTGACATGCGATGGCGCAGTGCGTTCACCACGTGCTACGGGTTATAGGATTGTACGTGAGCATGGTCATGGAGCGTCGTCTGCAGGTTCCCCTACCATACAATGCTGCCCAAAGAATTGCTGCGCCCAATCTGCCATCAGCGTCCGCGTCAGTGGCACCCTCTTGTACTCAACCACGTTCAACAACCACTGACCCTCCATTCCTTCTCCTGCGCCACGATGCAGAGCCTTTCCTGGGTATGAATGACTTCTTTAAAACTTGGGGCGCCCCCGCTAGACACAACATGTGGAAGAGCAGCGTGCGGCTGCACCTGTTTCTCCAGTGGCGTCGCAAATAGAAGCCAATCCGGCATCCACCTGCCTTCAGGCAGTCGAGGTGAAGCCCTGCCCAGCCTTTTCAAATACGGGGAGGATTATCAGTTTGCATATGCTTGGCCGCCGCACAATCCCTCAATTATATACCACACATGGATGAGATTGCTGGAAAATTCCGGGCTGCCATGGCGGTGTGCTGTCTTCCGTCCATTGCGGGGTGTAAGATGTGTTAACGGTCGGCGCTGTCCATCCATCCAAAATATGACATCCAGATATGTGACACCCCCCCACCTTTTCAGCGCCCCATAGCCTGATGTAGCGCCACACTGTTAGGTCGCCCAAATGCACTGCAACTCTTTTACGGAAACGCAAGGATTGAGGGTACATAGCTGTGACGCGACAAATTCTTGATCAATTCTGGAGCTCCGTGCAATGTGATGGATCTTGACAGCTACACCAAAGTGGTCGGCGTAGTGAGCAGCCAATGATGTGACTTGATCGACTGCCGGCCAGCTGAGGGACTGCCTTAGTTACCTCATTATTTGACACAAGTTGCTGATCGACGCCAGTAGCAGTATGCGCTGGTCTGGTTTAATGGATGTGGCTATGGGTTTAAAGCTTACCAAGATCCGTAGAAGAGCCGTGTTCGATTTTGCTTACTTCCCGTAGCCTCTTTGCTGCCACCTCCGCGGGCGGGGGATGATCATGAGGCGTTACTCTGTGCATCGAGATAGGCTATTGTGACAGCAATAATTGGCTAAAACGAGTATCCTGTGGCCTTTCATCTTTGCTGGTTATGCATAACACTCTATCACATAATATGTACCTGAAAAATATCATTATGGTAGCGCCATTGGGTCCTTTACGGAAAATCAGCGAACCCATTTCGCTCAATTTGAACCAAAGGGCATCCTGACCTTGACCTCTATAGCCGTTAAACGTGACCTTTAAACTGCGAAAAACTAACATCAGAAATGGCGATTCCGTTTTCAGGCAAAACTTGTGCTAGAAAAGCCTGCTTATCACACATGATTCTACTGTCCAGTTAGCTTAAAAAGTTGTATTTTGACCCCATATTGTAAACCTTAACCATATGGCTCCAGCGCATTATATTTAATTTATCAAACCAATGAAATAAATCAATTACCTTATTCAATCAAACAAATCAATACGGGACTCCAATACACCTTCACCCTTAGCCAACACCAAATTTCAGTCAGTTACCGTTGTAAAGTGAAATTAGGCGTAATTTAGCCGAAGTGACCTTGACCTTGACTTTGATAAGGTTGATCCTGACCTTTAATCGCGAAAGTAACATCAGAAATGCGATTCACTGGTCAACCCTATATAGAAAAGAGCTATCACACATGATTCCAGGCCTAGTAGTTAAAAAGTTGTGTTGCCATGCTTAATTATGCAAATTAGATAATTAAAAATGTTCCCCAAAGATTGCCGTTCGCTGCCACACAAAGCCTAAAAATCTTCCAGACATGGCATATCGAATACATATCAAATAAAAAAGACCTGGAACTCATTAAAGATTTCTTGGTTCCACTATTGAAAGGATACGGCCCGCAACTAGACTTAACAGCAAATATCTGCTGTGTAGAACAAATATTGACTTTATCAGCTGATCGTCACGGGATAGTATGACGTTTAAATCGTCGTGTCTGCGTCTATCGTCCCTCGGTTTTCATATAGCTGACTTCCTCCGCATGTGTGCATAACTTACGGCAGCAACTTGACTGCAAACAGTGCTGAATAACTAACTATGTGTAAAAATTGTATAAAGCCCCGGGCGCAACACCGTGATATTTTTTTTTGTTTATTTCTCAAGGAAAATGACGACGCCATTGATCATTTTTACTCACGTGTGTAGCGAGATTTTCGGTTGAGCTAATTGACGCATGCGTCATTTTACTCATATCAAACGTGTTTGCATAATTTGACTCATGCGTCATTTTACTCAACGTGTGCGCGCGCGCTGAGTAAATTTATTTAACACTGGTACTCACAGCCAACATGTTCTGCTTGCACCTATGACAAATACGACATACGCATATACGCTCTCCTATGACACTAGTGGCCGCATAGCGAAAATCTCTCCTATGACAAATATGTGGCGAGTCAACTTCCGCAAGTCAACGTACTCCTTTACAGCTGAAATTCACTGCCTGCCGTATAAATAATAGCGCTCCTAAACTCCTAGGATTGCGCACAAACCAAAACATACAAACAATATTTGTCAATCAGGAAGAATCTTCCTATATGACAAATAGTGTCATAAGAGAGCGTATGTGCGTATGTCGTATTTGTCATAGATGCTAGCAGAACAGGCTGTCACAGCGCATGCGTTTAAATCATTGTGCGCCCAGTATTGGCTGCACACAGTCACGTTATCTGCATTACCACTTATACCTTGAGTAATTTTACTCACCGCTTTGCCGAGCCGGACCCGCTGAAAATATGACGCGTGAGTAAAATGACTCATGCGTCATTTTACTTGAGTAAAATTACTCACGTGTGCGCCGGGCTTATATATGTTCCATATTTGCCATCGCGCGGCGTGCTCAGAGTACAGATAACCTATATATACGACGTCGCGCATTTGTTTTCCACAATTGCCGTCGCGTTGCGTGTTTTAAATCCTTTCAACCGCAATACAACTATATAATTACTTAATATTTTAAACTAATTTACTACGATTGCAACTATATTTAAAAATAATTATTCTGACTTACTATGCCGGGAAAATTGCATTACCTTCGTGCATGGCTGCTGATGTTTCTGCGTAAATTCTGTTAACTTGAGGAGTATAATATACTAAACCGATCATTGTTTAAAAGTTACCCCGTTCTGTTTGATTTGTTTATTGTGGTGAAGCGCGTCAAGAACCCCAGTTATGCCCCCCGGAGCGCAGGAAGGAACATCTGCCCCCCCTGCTCCCAGCCTAACCCTGCCCCCGAATGTAAAATCCTGACCCTGTTTGTATCCGAATATTAGACTAACAGGCCCCCCCTAACACACACACATGACACACACCGCGCCGGCGCCGCGCCGACCACGCGCACACGGCACACGGCACATCTGCACACGCACACGTCCACCACGCACACGCACAACGCACACGCACCACGCACACGCACACACACACGTACTACGTAAAAGCACATGTCATCACCATCTCTTACACTTCACCCGCCGCAGCGCACCACGCCACACACACACACGCGCACACACACACACACACATCATCCAAACGCACGTCACGCACAGCATCGCACACACACACGTCACGCGCGCACGCACACTACACACACACAAACACGCAACGCCACGCAGCACACAAACAGCACACACACACTATATACACACACGCACGCACACACACACGCGCGCACCACGCACACCGGCACACGCACACGCACACCACACCGCACCACGCACACGCACACACACACACGCGTGCGCGCACCACACTCACACACGCCGCTTTGCACGCACGCCAACACACACATACCAGTANCGCTTATGATGTGTGCATGCATGTAATGTCGCGAGTAAACATATATGACAGGTACGAAATTGCTGCTATTTGAGAGAAACGGATGTTTACATTGTTTCGTATCTTGTTCAATAACGCAAATAATGACAGCAAATGATGTCTATTGTTTTCGTCACTTTATTAAATATCGCTAAACTAGAACACGTCAAACAAAAAACTGTATTTACTTTCGCGATTCGTACTAGTTTGGTTGATGAATACGATGTCTGTCGGTTTCGACGCGATTTGTAAATATTTTGCCATCTGAGCAATAACTGAAATGCGCTCGCGTAATGGCACTGGCGTATGTTGTCCGTCTATCCATCCGTTTGTTCCTCCGCCCGTCCATCCGTACGTCCATTCGTCTGTTCGTTCCTCCGTACGTCCTTCCGTCCGTTCGTTCCTCCGTACGTCCATCCGTCCGTTCGTTCCTCCGTACGTCCATCCGCACGTTAGTTCCTCCGTACGTCCATCCGTCCGTTGCGGATGGACGTACGGAGGAACACGGAGGAACGAACGGAACGTCCATCCGTCCGT